CCGCCGCTGGACGCCGCCGACACGAACGGCAAGTTCACGGCGGCGGTCGCCGCGACGGTCGAGGATTTGCGGGAGGCCTGCGGCGGCGCGGCGGCCGCGCTGGGGCTCGCCGCGCCGCCGCCGCCGGCCCGGCTGTTGCGGTTTGGGCGGTAGCTGCTGCGCGCTCCGCTTCTCGAATCCTGGCAGACGGGCTCCTGGCTGCGGGCCTGCACTGATCAGGCTTGTGATATCTGTTGGCGCTGTGAATTTGCAAGTGTTGCCGCACATACTGAGTCTCAAGCCCTGTCCATCGAGCCAACTCGGCACCTACCCAGTTGTTGGTTGACTGCCAAGCACTCTCGCTGTGTCAATGCCACTCACATTCTATGCTGCATTTACGACAAAAGTTGCATCTACGACATGTGTTACAGCTCTGATCAGATTGCAAACATTTCTTTTGGACAGAAAAGGCCACAGACACGTGCAGTGTTGACCTACGCAGCCGCGCCAGCACCCCGAGGGCATCAGCGGCCGACTGCCCAGAGGGCCCACCACCCTCCAGCCTCAACCCCTGCCCGCAAGCAGCTCGCCGCGCAGCGGGTCGCTCGGCGACGGCCGCCAATGTCTAGAGCCGTGGGCCCCGGCCACGGTCCGCGACAGGGGCGCCGAGGCCCCGGCCGCCACCAACCACTGCTGCAGCAGGAAAAAGCCATGCGGCAGCGGCCGCGAAGCATCAGCTGGCATCAGCCGAGCAGCGCCTCCCCCGCCGCGGCCCACTCGGCGCGCGCGTCCTGCAGCGCGCGCACAGCCGGCGCGATGCGCTTTGCGGCCTCTGACGCGCTGGCGCCCTTGCGCAGATGGTCGGCCTTCTCGGTGACCTGTCAAAAGGTTGCAGGGGGAGGTTGTGCGTGTGCGTGCATATGAGTGTGTGTGTGTGTGTGTGTCACGGACACGCTCCTGGGGACTGTGTGAGAAGTTTGGCGGCTGTGGGGCCTTCGGTCCTCCCCATTACCCCATGCCATGTTCAGTGGGGGACGATGGTGTGGCAGGCGCAGGGAACCCCGAGCGTCCCCGGCCGCAAGCCCCGCTGCGAGCCCTGCTCAGCGTTGCGGGTCAAAAGGACACACGCGCAGACGCACGCGACCGCGCGCACCAGCTTCCCGGCGCGCTGCTGCAGGGCCTTGCCCCTGTCCGCGTGCTCGCGGGCGCCGGCGGCCTCCTTCACAGACACTGCCTCGAGGGCGTCGTACAGCGGCTTGGCCTGGGGTACGGTGTTTTGGGGGCGGTGGTTGAGATGTTTGATGACAGGGGTGTGCGATGTGATAGGTGTGAGCGTCTCGAACGGTGGAGTGGCTCGGTGGCGGCGCGACGGGCGTGGGGGCGGGTTTTGGGGGGGGGTTCAGTGATGGAGCGAGGACGACAGAAACGCCCAGCAGTCGCACCTGCGTCCCCTCAGCACCCTATGCCCTGCTGTCTCCGTAAGCGCGGCAACTGTGTCATGCAAACACACATGCACACACACACACACTCTCCGTCTCTCTGTTTCTCTGTCTCTCTCTCACACACACATACACTCTCTCTCTGCCCACACTAGTCCACACAGACACACACACGCACCTGTGCGTCCAGCGCTCTGATGCGCGCCTCTGCCGCCTGCCGCACTCCCTGGGCTGTCTCGATGCCCTCGGTGTCCGCGAGCTGCTCGGTGACCTCTGCAATCTTGTCGACCTCCTTGGATTCCGCTGCGGGGTGTTTGTGTGTGTGTGTGTGTGTGTAAGATAGAAGAGTGTGCGCGCGCGTGTGTGTGTGTGTGTGTGTGAGAAGAGAGAGACAGAGAGAGAGAGAGAGAATGTTTGTGTGTGTGTGTGTGTGAGAGGGAGAGAGAGAGAGTGTGTGTGTGTGTGTGTGTGTGCGCGCGCACATGGAATCAGAGCAGCTGCAAAAGGATCACAGCCTCAGCAGCAGCTTGAGCACTGAAAGCGGCAAGAATGATCACAAGCCTGCATCCTAGGGGCCCAGGATCGGCCACAGGCAAGGGGCCGCCGTGCCGAATTTCGAGCACCCTCCAACCCCGCTGCCACGCGCGCACGCGCCGCGCGCCCACCGTCCCACAGCGCCGCGATCTTCTGGAGCGTCGCCCCGGCCCGCTCGCGGGCACGGGCGGCGACCCAGGCGTCGTCCTTTGCAATGGTCAGCTCCAGCCGGTTGAAGAGGGCCGCGCCCGCAAACAGCGCGGCAAACACTGCGGGGTTTCGGCCGGGCGGTTACGAGAGGTTTTTGGGGGTTTCGTTCACCAGCACCAGGGGGGGCGGGTCGAGGCGTGGTTCTGAGTTTTGATGTGTGGGGTTGCGCGTGAGTCGGGTCCCGGGGCGAGGGGGGTCGAGCAGGCGTGCGGGAAGCTGCGAGGCCCCGGGAGCGGCGCGTCCCACAGCAGCCGAGGGAGGCGCAAGGCCGTGTGCAGCGGCAGGGGCGGCTGCGGCGCAACGCCCAAGCGGCGGGGCTCGGCAAAGCAAGCAAAGCGTGCACGGCGCGCGCGGTGCGCCGCGAAGCTCGCGGCAGCCCCCCACCCCTACCCC